GCCTCCCAAAGTGCTGTGATTGCAGGCGTGAGCCACCATGCCCGGCCTAGAATAGATTCTTGACAGTGGGGGCCAAACACGGTGGCTCACACCTGTAATACTAACACTTTGGGAGGCTGAGGCGGCCCAATCACTTGTGGTCAGGAGTTCAAGACCAGCCAGGCCAACAGGATAGAACCCCATCTCTACTAAAAATACAAAAATAAGCCGGGCGTGGTGGCGCACGCCTGTAGTCCCAGCTACTTGGAAAGTTGAGGCAGGAGAATCACTTGAACCTGGAAGGCAGAGGTTGCAGTGAGCTGAGATCACACCACTGTACTCCAGCCTGGGCTACAGAATGAGACTCCATCTAAAGAAACAAAACAGAAAAGTGGGATCACTGGGCCAGAGTCAACACAGAATGTAAAGACTTGTGTATTTGTGAGACCCTTTAAAGCGTACTATCTCCCCAGCTACAACCTCTTCAGGTGTCCCTTCCCTGCCTCCTCCTGCCTTTCACACTGTGGCTTATGGTTCCAGGCTCAAGCACAGACATCAGTGAGGACTGGGAGAAAGACTTTGACTTGGACATGACCGAAGAGGAAGTGCAGATGGCACTTTCCAAAGTGGATGCCTCTGGGGAGGTGAGTGGGCCTGGTGGGTCAGAGGGAAGTGGGCCTAGTGGTACTGGGTGTGCGAACCGTCCCCAGCCAGCCCAGCTGTCCGTTCAGGAGGGTCCTTGCTCCTGTCTGAGGTGGCATGTTGTGGGAAAGAAGCTGGAGCTTCCTGCTTAGTCCCACAACAGTGGTCATCAGCAGGCTCCACTTCCTCTCAGTTCCAGGGTAATAAGAGGGGAGGGTTCTTGACCTGAGCTCTGTATCAAAATTGCCTGAGAAACTGCTTAAGAAAACAGATGACATGCTGGGCACGGTGGCTCGCGCCTGTAATCCCAGCACTTTGGGAGGCTAAGGTGGGAGGATCGCTTGAGGCCAGGAGTTCAACACCAGCCTGGCCAATATAGTGAAACCTCATTTCTATCTTTGAAAAAAAAAAAAAAAAAGAGAAGGCTGGGCGCGGTGGCTCAAGCCTGTAATCCCAGCACTTTGGGAGGCCGAGGCGGGTGGATCACAAGGTCAAGAGATCGAGACCATCCTGGTCAACATGGTGAAACCCCGTCTCTACTAAAACTACAAAAAATTAGCTGGGCATGGTGGCACGTGCCTGTAATCCCAGCTCAGGAGGCTGAGGCAGGAGAATTGCCTGAACCCAGGAGGCGGAGGTTGCGGTGAGCCGAGATCGCGCCATTGCACTCCAGCCTGGGTAACAAGAGCGAAATTCCATCTCAAAAAAAAAAAAGAGAACATAGTTGTTAAACCCTGCCAGACCTTCTGACTTGTGGTCCCCAGATATGAGGCCTGAGCATATACTTGGCCTTGGAGACAAAAGACCATTGTGATCAAGGGCATGTTACTTAACCTGAGCCTCTGGTTCCTCATCTAAAACATGGAATTGATCATTATAAAACCTGGCGTATAAGCTGTAATGAGGTGATGCATGTAGACACCTTATGGCTAGTGCCTGAGACATGGTGGCACTCAGGAGACATTCGTGATAAATGCCACAAAACCCATTACAGTTATTAAGCTCAAAAAGGCCTTATTACTGTTATTCTTTACTACCTCTCAGAATCAAAAGTGGCTCATTTAGATTGAGAGTGCAACAGTCCAAAGCTCTCCCAGCTAATAAGTGACAGAACTATGGCTGTAGCCCAGCCATCTGATTCATGTCAGCATTACTTCCACTGTCACACAAAAACCAAGTGAGTCCTTCCATCATGTAACTCATGAACCTAAGCTAGAAAGAGGTGGACAGATTAAAGACTTGTGAAGGGCCTCATTTTTCATGAAGCGAAACTGAAGCCTTGGGGGATTATTTTACCTACTCAGGAGTATTTTGGACTTTTGACTACCTCACTATACCCAGAACAGAGAAGGTCCATAGTGCCTGTCAGGCCACAGGGGCTTGCTGGCTTTTTGTGTCTTTGCAGCCCCCTTTGAAACCTGACATGCAGTACCCCTGAACGCTTTAGAACCTGCTTTAGCAGGGCTCAGCTGACAGCAGGCCCAGAGTAGGAACAAAGCAAGAACAGGTTCCTTTGCTTGGGGAGACTTGAGCTGGGAATTAGGGGCTTGGCGCCCCTAGTGAAGACCTTGTAAGCAGCCGTAGTCCACTGCCGCCTCTGCTTTTGACCACAGTGCCACTTAGACAGTGGCCCCCATTCACCCAGAGGTTAAGTAACTTGCCCTGGATCACACTGGTCTTTTGTGTTCAAGGCCAAGTATCTGCTCAGGCCTCCTGAGTTCTCTGCGTCTCAGAGCCATGGCATTCTCTGCTCAGTAGGAGGCAAGTTCTCCTTAAGGGACTGGGACTGACTTGGTTCCTGTAGACAGCCATCACCTTGTGGTGTCTGGTGTTGGTTGGTGGAAGCATTTCCTTTAGGTCTGAAATAATCAGAGCAAGCCCACCCCTCAGATACATTCCTTAAGACTAGGGGTTCACTCTCAGTGGGGACAGAGTATGGCCTGGGTGGGGGATGGGAGGCGGCTCTGCTCAGCAAGGGGAGGTTAGGTCTGGGCCTGACTCAGGAATAACTGTGTGTTTGTGATTTCCATCATCCCCTCCCATTTGCAGCTGGAAGATGTAGAGTGGGAGGACTGGGAATGAGGGGAACTGGAGGGAGCAACTCCCCACCCATGGCATCTCTCACCTCTCTCGTCTCAGCCCAGCCCTGGAAGACTCTGACTGAGAATGTCCCCCCAAATCTCCTCTGCCAACCAGAGCTCTGGGCACAGATTCTGGTGGCTCCCTGCTGGCCCTCTGGGCCTCTGCTCACACCTGGGAAGGGGCTCTATAAATCCCAGCCAGGAACTCTGACTTGTGCCAACAGTAGGATGACCCAAGAGAGAGGAAACCTATCCCCTTCACCAGAAGAGCCAGCGTTTTTCTGCTGAATACCCACTGTTCCTGGACACTCCTGCTGGGAAGTCCTAAAGGATAGTTCTAGCCCTTCTGCCTGTGTAGACAGAAGCAAAACCACCAGTCTCTCAGAGGAAGCCGAGACCACACACTCTGTCCACCCATAAGCAGGCAGGGAGGGCCATGCCACCTGTCCTTGGCTAAACAGGGACAGCGAACACATTTTGGTTCCTATCCCAGTGGGCAAGAGGCTCTTATCTCTGGGAAATTTGCCTCTCTTGGGAATCTCCCCCTCCCAGGCATTTTCCATTCCTGGAAAGACTCCTTTGGGGTCCAGAATCCAGAGACCAAACCCTGACCCACCTCCTTCCTTTCTTCCAGCCCACGCTGGTCTGTCCCCATGCCTTCCCAGGGCTTCTTCATGTCAGATGCACCCAAGTCCTTAGCCCAGCTGTGCCACCTGCAGGAGTTCGCTCTTGCATTTCTTCCCCTCCCCAAGAAGGGAGGGGGCCACTTCAGGCCCTTCTGTGTGTTGCCTGGCAGGATACCTTGTCCAACCAGCTACCCACCTCAACTCCCCTGTAGCTTAGGACACAAAACAGCTACCAGTGGTACAGAGCGGTGATCAGAGCCGAGTACTTACAACTCTGGTAAGCCTAGCTTCTCTGCCTTGGCCCTTCTGCGTCTGGAAGGGCTATCCTGGGGCTGAACTTGAAACTCTCATCAGGCTTCTGCAAAAGCTCTTCTTCCTGAAGACAGACCCAGCCTTTGCGCTCTCACCCTCCACTCTGGTAAAGCCGCACCTCTGGGGGAATGAGGGGCTGCAGGAATCTCTGGAGAGCCTGGTGCTTCACGATGCTGCTCTGGTGATTCTTGTACCTAATCTGGTGTGCTCACCAGTGAGTGAAATGGATCATGGTCAGGGATACCAAGAGTGGGGTCACTTCCACTTCAAACCATCAGTGAGGGGTGGGATGGAGAGAATGCTGAGTCTTGTTTTTGATGGGATGGGTTTTTCTCTTTGTAATTATTCCTTTAGTTTAATTAACCTTTTGGTTGTTTGTGCAATATTATATATTTTAAATTATAATGCATCTCCCCAGAGTATTTTGTAGCTGGGAAAACAACAACAACAACAACAACAGAAAAGAAAAAAAGATTCTAACAGCTGTTAGTTTTATAATTAAAAAAGAAAGAAAAAAGAACTTTGTCCTGAACCTTTTACAGACTTGCCGTTAACAGCATTAAAGTGATTCAGCCGAAGCTGGAAGGTGTCTGGGGGTCTGTTTTTGTCCCCTTGGCAGCTGCACTGGGCCAGGGCAGGACTGGCTTCCCACTTGGAGCCAGAGGCAGGGTAGGGGGATAGCCTGGGTCCAGATGAGGTCCCTTGTCCTCATCCCAGATTCAGCTTTGCCTTGGGATGAAAAAGGGGCAGGACTCCCAGCAGGCCTCTCACCAGGACAAGGAGTCGAGAGGCCATCTCTGCATTCCCAATGCCTCTGCTTTTATTTGGAAAGGAAGTTGCAACAACGGTGGTTTCAGTTGCTCTTGGTCGTTTTTCTCCTTTCCTCCCCCTGTGTGTATTTGATTCTGGGGTCTTTTTAAATTAACTTTAGTATGAAAAATCACTTGTCAGGCGAGGTGCGGTGGCTCACGCCTGTAATTCCGGCACTTTGGGAGGCCAAGGCAGGTGGATCACTTAAGGTCAGGAGTTCGAGACCAGCCCGGCCAACATAGTGAAACCCCGTCTCTACTAAAAATACAAAAATAGCCTGACGTGGTGGTAGGCGCCCAGCTACTGGAGAGGCTGAGGTAGGAGAATCGCTTGAACCTGGGAGGAGGAGTTGCAGTAAGCTGAAATCGTGCCACTGTATTCCAGCCTAGGTGACAGAGCAAGACTGTGTCTCACAGGGGAAGAAAAAAGGAAGTCTGAATGAGGCCCTCGGGTTCCATGAAGATCTCTACATGGAAAGAGTAGTAAGGCTGGGGAGGAGGTATGTAAGTTTTAGGATGAGTAAACTTAAAGCGTAAAATATATATCACCATTTTAGAAGCGGGTTTTTGAGTTTGCTTTCTCCCCCTACTTTATTGGGGAGCACTTGCCATTGCTTTTATCAAGTGCTTGCTAGCCATGGATGCCAACTAACTTCTTCAATTGAAGGCCGGAGGATCATGTCGGGTTCCAGGAGCCTCTTGAGCAGGTCCTGGCATTCGGCCGAGATGCTCAGATGAGTGGGGAAGGACACCCCCTTCTGCTGTTCCCACAGCATCTTGGGGATGTCTGTGTCGTCAAAAGGTAGGCTGGCACAGAGCATGACATATAGGACCACACCCATGCTCCAGACGTCACCTTTCTTGCTATCGTGGGGAATGCCCTGAAGCACCTCGGGGGCGGCATAGGCTGTGCTGCCACAGAAGGTCTGGCTCAGCTCCCGGTGCGACTTGGGCAACACCTTGGCAAAGCCAAAGTCAGTCAGCTTCAGGTTGAAGCCCTGCAACAGGGCGTTCTCGCATTTGAGGTCCCGGTGGGCCACACCACAGCCATGGCAGTAGCGGATGGCCTCAACCATCTGACAGAAGAGGGCCTTGGCCCGGCTCTCAGGCAGTGGCCCCCCATTCAGCACGCAGTCAAAGACATCCCCTCCCTCGGCCAGTTCCATTACCAGGTAGATTTTCCCATCGGCAGACTCCAGCATCTCATACACCTGGACGATGTTCTTGTGGTCCAGGGTACGGACTATTTGGAGCTCCCGAGGCAGGAATCTCTGGATAAACTCTGAGGAAGTAAGGGGAGTAGAGATGGGCTGGAGGGTCAGAAAGGCCTACCTCCTCACACCTGTCTCCTGCTTTCCAACTTCTGTCCTGCCCACCTTGTCTGGGTCTTATTTCTTGGCTCCCTTAATGGTCTTAAATGTGTCTAGCTGCTTGGATATTACAAAGAATGTTCACTTCTGTTATTTTTGTCGCTAACCTGTCTTTCAAAGGAACCACTCCCCACCAACCTGTGGACTGTTGTGAGCAGTCTGTGACTGGATATCAAGGTGCTTTGGGGACTTTCAGACAAAGCCACAGAATCTCAAGGCCTGATTTGCCCAAAGGGTGATGAGCCAGCTTCTCCCACCACTGTCCCCTGACCACAATTTTTTCCATGAGCCCTGTCTTTTCCCCATCTCCATCAGCCTTGGCACCAGCTCCTGTTCTCTGCTAGTCCTGGCTGTGGCCTCAGGCAGTCTCTGTCTCAGAGACTGTTCCCCTGCCAGAAGGGAAAGCCCGGCTCGGGTTTTGCCTCTGAGGATCCTTCACCTCATGCCACTTTAATCTTATATTTTGGGGGATGTAATGTTCCTGGACTCCTAGAACCCCTCTGTTCCCCACTGACCCACTCCAGAGCTGCCACGGGGCTTGCTTAGTTCCAGACCAGTGGGAGCAGGGAATGATCGAATGATCTAACTGGGGGAAGCACCCACCCGCCTCAGCCAGCCTGCCCTCCCGCCAAAGGGGCCCTGGCTCACCTTCTGGCCCTCCCATCTTGTCTATAATTTTAATTGCCACTTTTCTTTGGTGTTTTTTGGAAAATGCTTCTTTGACTTTTGAGTAGGTACCTTCCCCAATGGTCTTGCCCAGCTGGTATCCATTGGAGAGCAGAAAGTCCTCCATGCTGTCTAGCGCCTCCTTCCTATCACCCTCTCAGCTCATGCTGCCTCTGCGAGGCAGCTCTACGCCACCATCGCCCTTGGCCTGCTCCTTTTCTCCCCAAGCACTTCATCCGCAGCCGCCCCCGGCGTTAGAACATTGTCTGGACACAGCCGCGGGTGGTGGGGAGGGAGAGGGCCAGACATTTTAAGACTCTGGTGCAATTGTGATGTAAATGCTGTGTGACCCTTGGCCAAAATGGGTAGTGCCCCTATCTGCTCTCATTACCACCACCAAACCCAGCCCGGGTTAAGTCACCGCCGCGCCCACTCCCGCGCCAGGCACTGGGTCATAGCTCCCCCTAGGAGGGCGTTCCGCGGCGTCTGTGTGGGCCGGGGATACCCGTATCGCAGCCGTGGACGCCGTCTTGCGGCGGGTTGCCCTGGCCTCCTGCGCCGCACTAGGTTAGCTGGGGTCGGCGCGACCCCGTCTCCAGGCGCCACGGCCAAAGCCCTCCAGTTCCTGGCTCCAACCTGCGCTAAGTGCCTGGGGCGGCCGGGGGCGCCGTTGGGGATTCCCCAGCTGGAGGAACGGGCTCTGTGAGGTCAGCGCGCCGTGGCCTGGGTCACAATGCTGCCCTCCTCGATGCCAGCGCCCGGGCGCGCCACAGACACCTGCCCGGCTCCGCTTGGACCGGAGCGTTCTCCAGTGGCCAGGGCTCGGGCAGCTGCTTCCAGCCTGGGACCGGCCTCGGCCTCCGGCAGGTGAGCGACGGCCCAGGGGGCGGGCGCGAGGCGGGGGCGCCCGGCGGCCCGGGAGAGGCCTGACCGCCACTCCCCGCGCAGAGCGCCCCGGGGCCTGGACATGAGCGCCCAGGAGCCCCCGCAGGGTCGGAGATTCCCCATTGAGGCCGGAGACTCCAGTGGCCTTGCCGCCGCCCCCGAGTCCCAGGACAGCCCGGAGGCGGTAGCGACGGAGCACAACCCGGTCAGGTGAGGCCCGCCCCGCGGCCCCGCCCTCTGTCCCACTTGGCGCCCCTAGCGGCAAGGTCCGCACATCCACGTCCCGGTCCCCAGGGGACCCCAGGTGAACTACCTGGATGCGCCCCCACGGCCTCAACGTCCCCCTGTCATGCCCCGCTTTCCCCAGGCCGCTTCGACGTTGCCCCGGCTGCCACTGCCTGACGCTGCTGCACGTGCCCATCGACGTCTACCTGGCCATGGGCGGGAGCCCCCGGGCTCGCGCCACGTGAGCGCATTGCGGCTCCACGGGAGCCGGGCGGGAACGAGGCCCGCCGCGGGCCACCACGCTGAGGTCGCACGCGCCGAGCACGAGACAATGATGCACATTTTAAAATAAAAGAATGATGCACATTTTAATAAAGCACAGCATAAACTGTTCTTTCCACTTCGGGCTGGCAGTGTATGTCTATCCGTCGGGTCCACCAGCTGCTCTGCCCAGTAACACTTTCCCTTCTGCGGCCTCCTCACTTGGACCCAGCCCTAGAGGCCGGCCCTTCCACCTTTCAGCCTGCACCACTTCCCTCCTCCCACTTCTTGCTGGTCCTGACCCTCCCTGGGCAGCCTTTACCCTGGGGCCCTGCCCTTGTCCATCTCTCTAACCCCTTCTCCGGTGAATTCACATCATTGTGGGGGATGCCGGCAACCCACAGAGGCGGGGAACAGGAGCGGGGAGGAGAGGTGGGCCGACAAGTAACATAGAATACAGCCAATGGCCACCCATACCAGGCGTTTTTTTTTTTTTTGAGATGAAGAAGTCTCACTGTGTCGCCCAAGATGGAGTGCAGAGGCGTGATCTCGGCTCTCTGCCTCCCAGGTTCAAGCGATTCTTCTACCTCTGCCTCCCCAGTAGCTGGGACCACAGGTGCCCGACCAGGCCTGCTTTAATCCTCTCCAGCGAGAAGGTTCTGTAACATGCTCTTTGCGACCCTGGGCGCCTGGGGCCTTCCTTGTTGGAGGGGTTTGGAGCTGCCCCAGTCCATTCTGAGCCTTGGTTTCTCCTACGACCGAAGGGATCACAAAAAGATTGGGGAAGAGGCCGTTTGAAAAACGGAGGTTTAACTTCCTGTTTTACAGATGAGTGAAATGAGCCTTTTTGAGACTTGCCCAAGGTCCCCCGATGACAGGTGACACTCGCACACTCCGAAGCATCTTCAGACCACATGCCCTAAGATCCACCCTCCAGGGGCCCATGACAGGAACCCTACCCAGAAGTGCTAGTATTTAAGCTAAGCAACTATTTTCTACTTTCCATTTTGCTTTAATGAGCCCGTATATTCTACTTTACAATTTTGCTTTTATGGGGGGAGTATAACCTAAAGGTCAGGTTCAGTCTCCTGTCCCCTGACATCTAAGGAGAATTGATTCAACACCCTCCTCTAATCTTCATGTGGTAGAGAAGTCCAACCTCTCCCTAGAGCACCTTAGAATTCCACAGTCACCCAGAAGGGATACCCTTCTGTTTCTACATAAAATGCTCTCCCAGGCAGTCCCCATGTAGGAGGCTTACTAAAAGGGCCTATTTCCTCACTGGTTTTTAAAACAGCAGGGGGAGGGGGAAGGGGGCATCAGCTGGTCTCTTTGGACTCTGCCAGCCCCGCAAAATGCTGAATCCTTCAGTCTTCCTTCCCTGCCCGCCCACCCGCCCCCCACCGTCTTTCCCACTTCCTTTCTCTTCTCTACCCTCTTTTCCTTTTAAAAAAAAAAAAAAAAAAAAAAAGAATAGGCTCAGGCCTGTAATTCCAGCACTTTGGGAGGCTGAGGCAGGAGGATCACTTAAGCCCAGGAGTTCAAGACCAGCATGGAAAACAGCAAGATCCCATCTTTAAAAACAAAACAAAACAAAAACCAGGTATGGTGGTGTGTGCCTATAGTCCTAGTTACTGGGGAGCCTGAGGCAGGAGGATTGCTTGAGCCCAGGAGTTCAAGGCTGCAATGAGCTGAAGTCACACTACTGCATTCCAGCCTGAGCAACAGAGGGAGATCCTGTCTCTAAAAAATTTAGAAACCAGGCCGGGCACGGTGGCTCAAGCCTGTAATCCCAGCACTTTGGGAGGCCGAGGCGGGTGGATCACGAGGTCAAGAGATCGAGACCATCCTGGTCAACACGGTGAAACCCCGTCTCTACTAAAACTACACTACAAATGATTAGCTGGGCATGGTGGCGCGTGCCTGTAATCCCAGCTACTCAGGAGGCTGAGGCAGGAGAATTGCCTGAACCCAGGAGGCGGAGGTTGCGGTGAGCCGAGATCGCGCCATTGCACTCCAGCCTGGGTAATAAGAGCAAAACTCCGTCTCAAAAAAAAAAAAAAATATTTAGAAACCAGTTACTGCCAACCTTCCATGTGCTTGATTTGTGAGGGATGCAAAGATTCCAGACACAGCCCTTGCCAATGGGGCTAGTTAGCTCTAGAATGTCCATAAGCAAGGGGAAGGGCATTCCCATTGGGGAGGGAGCATTGTGGGTAAAGGCCTGGAGGCAGGAAGGACAAGTTCAAGAAACTCAGTTCAATCAGTTTTCATCAACACCTACCTGGGCCATGCCTGGTACGGAGAACCCAGGCCTGAATCTGACATCATTTTCCCTTGCAGAGCTTAGAATGCAAGGGATCCACGAATGAATTAACAGAAGAGAAGCTGGATCAGGGAGACCTTTGCATACCAGGTGAAGGAGTTTGAACTTTGTTCTGCAGGCAGGCAGAGTACAACAGGCTCCTACCTGGGTCACTTCACTCTCCTATTTCTCTTCTCTTCATCCTGTTCTCTGTTTCTTCTTACTCCTTCTCCCAGGAAAAGCCATTGGCCGAAACTAGTGCTGAGTTCAAGTCCTGACTCCGCCGTTTTTCTAACTGTGCAACCTTGAGCTAATTAGCCCTTCTGGGCCTCCATCTTCAAATCTGTAAAATGGGGTTAATGACACCTGCTGGAAAGTTTCAGTAAGGACCTGTGTGTCCACCACGCAGGAATCACTGCCATAGCTACCACTTGATAAGCAAGAGACTGCTAGGGCTGCTGCTCTTACCTTTGTCTTCAAGGGGCAGCAGAGAGCCAGACAGCCAAAGACACTGTCCCTGGGAGCTGGGTGATGTCCAGCCCTGAAGGGGGCTGAGGAAACCCTCTTGCCTCTCTCTCTACCAACTTCCTAGCAGTTCTGTTCAGGAGCCTAAGACCTTGGTGGGGGTTTGGGGGCAGGGGAATTTCCAGGGGAATCCCCAGGTGGAAAAGACAGAGCTGCCTCCCTCACCCTAACTGTCCCCAGACCCCAGTGCAGGACCCAATGCAGATCCCGGCCTTATTCTTTGGGCCTGAGGAATGGGGAGGGGCCGGGCAAAGGGGGATGCTCGAATCACTGCCTTCCCTGACTTCTTTCTCAGATACCTTATTAGCCAGCCCCTCCCTATGGGACCCCCTTTTAGAAGGAGGGGGCGAAGTACAGATGGACCCCCCAGGTTACCATGGAGACAGCAGGGAAAGGGTTGCTGTATCACCATGGCAATAATTGACGTCAGTGCTACCCTTTCCCATCACTTGATATGAGAGGGGGACAGCCACCCCAACCACAAGCAAATCCCCCACAAATCCTCCTCCTCTTACTGAGCCAATCAACCAGGGGGGTCGCCAGGCTTAATATAGCACAGGAGTTAAAAGCACAGACTCTGATGTCAGTCAAACCTTGGTTCAAATCCTCACTCTGCCTCATCCTAGCCGTGTGAATTTGAGCAAGTTTCTTAACCCCTTGAAATCTCATAGGTGCCATGGGGCTGAATAAGCTACGTGCCTCCAAGGATTATGTGAGGATGACATGGGATCACGCAGGTAACAGGTGTGGGGACTGCCTCAACCAAAGTGCACACTGACATAGGGATGGTCAAGAATCCTACTCATCATCTTGGGACTTGTCAGGGGATTGTGGACTTCCAGCTACAGACTCCCATCTCCTAGAGGGCCCCCAGGACTTACAAGGACTGGGCCTCAGGGTTTGAGCATCTCAGGATTTGGGGGTCTCAGAGTGAAACCAGAAACTGTAGAATTTCCAGGCTCTGAGGAAACCCCAGATGCCACTTTCCCTGAAGCCTCATCACATCTGGACTCTGACCCAACTTCGCCTTCTCCTCCCCTCTGCCTTGTCCTAATCCTTAATAACACCTTCTACCTCTTAGGGGCCTCCATATGCTCCCCTAAGAAAAAGGATGGGGTGGCCGGGCACAGCTGTTCATGCCTGTAATCCCAGCATTTTGGGAGGCTGAGGTGTGCAGATCTCTTGAGGCCAGGAGTTCAAGACCAGCCTGGGCAATGTGGCAAAACCCTGTCTCTACAAAAAAAAAAAAAAGAAAGAAAGAAAGAAAGAAAATTAGCCAAGCATGGTGGCACATGCCTGTAGTCCCAGCTACTTGGGAGGCTGAGGCAAGAGGATCACCAGAGTTCAGGAGGTCGAGGTTGCCATGAGCCGAGATCATGCCACTGTACTTCAGGCTGGGCAACAGAGTGAGACTCGGTCTCAAAAATAAATAAATAAATAGAAAAGGATAAAAAAAGGATGAGGCTGGTGCTGTAATCCCAGCACTCTGGGAGGCTGAGGCAGGGGGGTCACTTGAGCATAGGAGTTCAAGACCAGCCTGGACAACATGGCGTCTCTACAAATACAAAACTATTAGCCAGGCATAGTAGTGAGTACCTGTAGTCCCAGCCACTCAGGAGGCTGAAGTAGAAGGATCGCTTAAGCCCAGGAAGTCACGGCTGCAGTGAGCCGAGATTGTGTCACTGCATGAATTTTTAAAAAAGAAGAAAAAGAAAAAGGATGGATGAGGGATCACAGGTAGAATGGCCTGGTCACCATGGGGATATGGGTGGTCCAGCTCCCACTGCCCTCTCCCCACCCACCCTTAGGGTAGAAGGACTGGAACCATTTTCATTCCCTCCCTTTTCCCTGACAACCACGATTCAGTCTGCCCAAATCCACTGCCACCGCCCTGGGTCAGGTCCCCCTTACTACTCACCTGATCGTTCCAGCAGCTCCCTGCCAGGTCTCTCCCTCCTTCCTTCCTCACTTGATCCTCCAATCCAGAATTATTTTATAAAGACCACAAACGCAGCCTGGTCAGTTTCCTATTTAAACCTCATCAATGGCTTCTTCACATCCCTTGTCCAGCCACAATGGACACCTTTCAGATCATCACAAAACATTCCTCCCACCTTAAGCACATCGTCCCTTCTGCCTGACCCCACAGATCACCCTCAAAGATGGCTCCCCTGACCACCCATCGGTCCCCCACCCTTAGGGCCTGCATGTCCTCTGGGTTGCCTTCAATATCTATTCCTGACCCGAACCTAATGCCTGTCCTCCCTGTTACACTACAGGCTCACTGCAGGCAGGAACATCCTCCTCCTGACATCCCCAAGGTCTAGAACAGGAGGGCTCAGGAATCTGCAGATTAGACTAGCTAGTGAATGACTGCTTGCAAGGTCCACAGAGGAGAGGCCTTGGTGGTGTGAGAAGAAGCAACGGCGGAGCCACCCGCCCAGCTGGGAGGTTGGAAATGGCTCTCATAAATGGACACTTGAACTGAAGGATGAGAAGCTGTTACCCAGGCAAAGACTGAGGAACGTCCCCAACACTGGGTTTGGTATGGGCCATGGGTTGGGTGAACTTGGTGCTAAAGACATGGATGGTGCAGGGAGACATATTCCTATTTTGGAAAGACACCCAGCTGCCCTGTAGGAACAGACCACATAGGGGATTGAGAGTGGCAGCAGGGAGACAGATCAGGAGGCTGCTGCAGCCTCTCTGGTGAAAGGTGATAGGGCCTTGGTGCAGGTGTTGGTGGCCGAAACGGAGAGAAACAATGGGATTTTAGGTATGTCCTGAAAGGACAGGATTTTGTAGCTGCTTGAGGATGAAAAGGGTGAGAGAGGACAGAGTCTAGAACCAAATCCAGATTTCAGGTTCAGACAGCTGGGAGATGGTTAAGCTGGGGGACATGGAGGGAGGGCAGGTGTGCAGCCTGCTTCCTGAGAGTGGCACATTGAGCAGGAGAGGTCCAGGAGGCAGGTGTGGGGCAGGGGAGAAGGCTGGACTGAGAAAGAGAAAGGAGTTTCTGGCACGGGCTGGACGCTGAGGGCATGGGAGTTGATGAGACTCCCCAGGGATAGACTGTAGCAGGTCTGGGAACAACCATGATTAGGCAGTGAGCAAAGGATAAGAAATTTGCCATGTGGCAGCAACCCATAAGATAGCAAGAAAATCAAAAGTGTACAGTGTCCAGAAATACGAGGACCTAAAAGTATCTCAAAGAGGAGGGAGTTATTTGTGTCAAAGCTGGCCACTGCTAAGGGGTCAAGACAGATAAAGACTTGTAAGCATCCCTTGGATTTAGCAACAAGGAGGTTAGTGGTGACCTTGGCGGGCTGTTCCTGTGGAATGGTGGGGGAGGAAGCCAGATTGCAGGGGCTGAGTGAGGAAGTGGAAACAACGTGTGTATACAACTCCTTCAAGAATGCTGGCTGCAGAGGGGAGCTGGAGAAGGATGTGGAGTGGAGGGAGGGCTTTCTTTTTTCAAAGATAGGAAAAACTAGAGCTTGTTTGTCTGCTGATGGGAAGAAGCCATCAGGGAGGGAGAGGCTGAAGATATGGAAAATGGTTGAAGATAGGGAAAAAAAAGAAGGGATTAGGGGAAGGAGATTCCCCATGGAGGAAAAACAGATTAAATCCCCAAATATGGCTGCACAACCTGGGGGGGCAAGTCAGGGCCTGTTCTGGGCTCTGGGGGCTCAGAACAGCTGCCCACTCTCCCCAGCAGCCAGTGTGAGTCACTGGGGGGGAAATAGCCCAAACTGGCAATGTGGAAGGGGGGGCTGGGCCAGCATGTTCCTTAGGATCCCCAAGGGTCAGGGAGGAGCCAGGAGCAGCCTGGGCTCTGAGCCCTGAACCCCATGCCCTGAGCTGGACAAGGACACACAGAAGGGTTGTCTCACCTTTTGTAGGAGCAGGCAGAGTTGTAGAAAGCTTAGGTTGCACTTTTGACTTTTCACTGCCCCATTGTGAACCTGTTGCCTCTTCTGCAAAAAGAGAGGGTTAAACAGATCGACTTTTCAGTTCTGGGGAAGGAAAGTGTCAGGACCAGGACTTTGCTGACAGTTTAGGGGGTCCTGGAGCCCCAGCAGCCTCCGAACTACAGTTGGCTGAGGAGCTCACATTTAAGCGTGCATAGAATTAGGGAAAAGGCTCCTATGAGGGACATGGGAACAGGTCAGGGTGCATCTAAGCCTGGGAGAAGAGAAGGCCCTTTGAGGTGAGTTGTGCCTGAACACACAATCCAGAATGTGTGAGGCCAGCCAGGAGTGGTGGCTCACGCCTGCAACCCCAGCACTTGGGAAAGCTGATTGGGAGTGGGGCAAACTGCTTGATTCCAGGAGTTTGAGACCAGCCTAGGCAACATGGCAAAACTCTATCTCTACAAAAAAAACAAAATATGGCCAGGTGCAGTGGCTCACGCCTGTAATCCCAGCATTCTGGGAGGCCGAGGTAGGCAGATCACCTGAGGTCAGGAGTTCAAGACCAGCCTGGCCAACATGGAGAAACCCCATCTCTATTTAAAA